GGGTTTAGGGCTGTCACGAATATCGCTTTCTTTCCACAAACCCTAAACCCTAAACCCTAAACCCTAATTTTGTTTATAATTTTTTGTATGTCGATTCAGACATTCAGGAGAAGAACTCAGCGGCCTCAAACCCTTCTAATTCTGCTGCTGCAGCAGCAGCAGCAGCAGCAAGAGGGGGGCCCCACAGGGGCCCCCATGGGGGGCCCCCAGGGGCCTCTTCGGCTTCCCCCCGCGGCAGCCACGGCTTAGGCAGCAAGAAGCCAGCAGCAGCAGCAGCAGCAGCAGCAGCAGCAGCAGCAGCAGCAGCACCTGGGGAGCCTGTGTCTGCGTCTCCGCGGGGCAAGGCCTCGAGCAGCAGCAGCACGGGCAGCAGCAGCAGCAACGGCGGCAGCGACAGCAGCAGCAGCAACAGCAGCAGCAGCAGCAGCAGCAGCAGGGGGCAGCAGCTGCCGCAGCAAACTGAAGAAGAGTTTCTTAAGGGCTGCGGCTTCCAGGCCATTTGGAGTGAACACTTTGAAGTGTCTGGACTCCTGGGTGCAGCAGCAAAGCTCTGCAAGTAAACCCTAAACCCTAAACCCTAAACCCTAAACCCTGGTGCCGCGCGTGACAGCAGCAGCTGCTGCAGCAGCAGCAGCAGCCCCACCTGCTGCTGCTGCTGCTGCTGCTTTCAGAGCATGAAATAATAGAATTAAAGGGAAGAAGCAAATAAATAAATAAATAAATAAAATAAGTAAATAAATAATAAAAGAAAACATTTAATTAAATTAAAATTAAATTAAATAGATGCAAACCCTCATTTCTCTGCTGCTGCTCAAACCCTAAACCCCCAAACCGCCGTTTGTCAAAAGCCAAAAAAACCGAAAAACAAAAAAACAAAAAACTTAATATAATTGACTAAATTGAATTAAATTAATTAAATTAAATTAATCAATTAAATTAACTTAATTAAATTAAATAAATTAAATTAAATAATAAATAATAAATAAATAAATAAATAAATAATAAATGTGTCTTCAGAGCTGCTGCGGGCGAGAAGGAGGAAGGGGAGTTTTTGGAAACCCTCAGCAGCTTTAATTTGCTGCTGCAGCAAACCCGCGGGAAAGTTGGAAGACATTTCAATTTGCTGCTGGCGAGGCAGCAGGACCTCGAGGGTTTGCTGCTGCTGCAGCGCGAAATCGAGGCCCGGGTGTCGCAGGTGCGAGGGTTTAGGGTTTAGGGTTTAGGGTTTGGGGTTTAGGGTTTGGGGTTTATGTGCTTTAAGGATATTGGGTTTGGGAGCTGAGGAGCGTCTTCGCCGGTTCTGAAGGAACTAGGCTTCGCGGGATGCGAGGGTTTAGGGTTTAGGGGCTTCTAGGGTTTAGGGTTTAGGGTTTAGGGTTTACGGTTAATTGGTCGCTGCGCGCAGTGTCAGGAAACCACCAGACTTTGGCGCTCAGGTCGCGGAGCCCTCGGGTTAAGGGTTTAGGGTTTATGCTTTACTGGCGACACAAGCCTAGGGTTTAGGGTTTAGGGTTTTTGAGGGTTTAGGGTTTAGGGTTTAGTGTTTAGGGTTTGTGGTTTCAGCTGAAGCGGAGCATTTCGACGGCGAGCTTGGAAATGGGGGTTGTGGAGTTGATGGTGAAAAGACGAAAAGAAATAAATTTGAAAAGTTCGCAAGTTTTGCTGCAGCCGAGTCTGCAGCAAACTGCGCAGCAGCAGCAGCAGCAGCAGCAGC